GTAAATTACATGAGTGTTGCTTGTATGCCTTAGGCTTCCGCCGTATGTATGCATGCGTTATTTTATGTGTAGAATTGAGTATGCCGGGTTTCGGGTGTTTGATGGACGAATTCGCCCCATTGAGCGCGAACTTAGTGCTCTGGGTGCTTGATGGAGGTCATCGCCCCGCTGAGCCGGTATGCCTAGTTTGCATGAATTACATACTATGATGTAGAAGAAGATTACATGCACCCTCTGTTAATTATTTCCTTGATAAGATTAGGGAATCTTGGATAGGGGCGAAATGCCGCTCCAGCCTGACTTAATCTTTCCCTAGGAACTTAGTGGTTTACCACGGTAAGAAGGTACCCCGGAGCGTTCATAGATTGCTAGCGTGTGAACGGTATCTATAGCTTCGTGGGAGGACCAAGGGGTCCCTGATCAGTCCTTACTGCTCTTAGCCATTTCGCATGGGAAATGTGTCCCCACGTCGTACAGCCCATTAGCTGCATGGGAACGGGTTGGGTCGCGCCCCCCATAGAGGGACTAGATGGGCGTAGGGGTACTCAGCACACCCCTAGGCTAGGTACCATGTAGTCCCAGATAGCCATGTGGAGGTAGCACCTCATAGAGAGATACCGACCATATTAGCTTGGCATATAGAACCTCTGGGCGTTTAATGAGAGAACGAAAAATCAGTGAAACCCAAGGGGCAAGCCCCAAGGGACCTAGATTGGAGCCAGTCGCCCTAGAACCGAAATAGGAAACCGTGGCAACCTATTGAATTAAGATGCGAAAAGAGCCTACAAGTAGGTGGCTTACTGAGTATAATTTTTATACTCATCCTTGCTATGTTTTCCTTTTTTTTTTCAGGAGCGCGAGGCGTCGGTCAAGAGTGGGCGTGATCTGAAGGGAATTGTCACAGAGGGATGGGTTGTCCCGGGGCGTCAGTCCAGTCTTAGTCTTTATTTTTGTATTCGCATTCCTTTTAAATTTATTTTCCAAACGGTCTTGTGATCTGTGTTATCGTTCGAAAAACTTTATTGAAATTTGATGATTTTTGCTACTTCATATTTAAATCTCTTGTGCGTCTGTGTCGTGTCGTTGGTCACTGTCCGTAGTAAAATATTGGGCTGTGACACAAGTAGTCCTATAGAGCCATGCACGAGGTAGCTCCTAGTAGGTCACTAGTCATTTACACCTCAACATAAGGAACTGTTAGGGTTTAAATGAAATGATGATGAACCAGAGCAGACCCAAGAGGTTAAGACTAGAACTAGACGTTCGAGAGCCAATGAGAAGTCCGTGTTTATCTGTTAAGCTTAGAATGCGATGAGAGCCTACAAGTAAGTGGCTTATTGAGTATTAACTTTTATATCCATCCTTGCTACGTTTTTCTTTTTCAGATGCCTAAGGTGTCAGGTCAAGAGAGGACGTGTTTGAAAGATGTGGATTGCCATAAAGGAAATTATGTCATGAGGTGCAAGTCCGGTCTTTGTTTTTGTATACAAATTTTCATATCTTTCAATGTCAAAACTAATCAACTATTTGAATCATTGAATTGAAATTCCCTTTAGAAATGAATGATTTCATTTGATGTCTTTTCAAATATTTTCTTACTCTCACCTTATCATTTTGAATCAGACTCATTGTAAAATATTGGGTCGTGACAACTACCCTCACCCATGGCTCCAAAGCCGGGTTTATGTCTACGAGCCATTGCGAGAGGAATTGCCCAAAGCTTGAGCACTTTATGGAGTGAAGAAAACAAAAAAGAGTGCGGCGGCTGAAAAGGTTAAATAAATCTAGAAGCATGTTGAATATGAACAGTTGAGATACATGACAGATTCACAAGATTAACGCATGTTTATGCACCGATTAAAGTACTCAATTAAAATGTTTAAGACCCTTACCATATAATTAACCAAATTATATAGTTCATGCACATATTTGTCATCCCTACAAGTGGGCCATCCCCTCTGTTTCTTTTTCAATAAATCAAGAGCTGCATGCTTCACTCTGCATTCCCATCTCTGCCTTTCTCCATTTCCACCGCCATGGGAGCTCTGCACAAACCTTCCCAATCCCATATTGTTATGGTGCCAAGTCCAGGAATTGGCCATCTAATTCCCCTCCTCCAGTTCGCCAAACGCCTTGTCTCCCTCCACGCCTTATCCGTCACCGTCGCCATTCCCTCCGACGCCCCTCCGACCAAAACACAAAAAGCTCTCTTCACCAACCTCCCTTCCACCATCCAACCTCTCTTCCTCCCGCTCCTCTCCTTCTACGATCTCCCCAAACACACCAAAATTGAAACCATCATCGCTCTCTCTGTAACTCGCTCTCTTCCGTTCATTCGCGACCTCTTCAAATCCCTCATCGGGAAAACCCATCTTGTTGGCCTTATCGTCGACCACTTCAGTACTGACGCCTTCGATGTCGCCATCGAATTCAACGTCCCTCGCTACCTTTTCTTCCCTCCCTCCGCCATGTCCCTTTCCTTCGCCTTTCAATTGCCCAGCCTCGACCAAATCGTCTCCGGCGAGTTCAGGGACCATCCCGAGCTGATTCCGATTCCTGGGTGTATTCCGATTCATGGGGAAGATCTCTTGGAACCGGCTCAAGATAGGGAGGATGATGCGTACAAGCTATTACTCCATAACTGTAAGAGGTATAGATTGGCCGATGCTATTTTTCTTAACAGCTTCCCGGAATTGGAGCCGGAAGCTATGAAAGCTCTGCTAAAGGAGGAAGCAGGGAAGCCCCCTGTTTATCCAGTGGGTCCGCTGGTGAGAAACGATTGCAGTGAAAACGGAAAGAGAGCGGAGTGTTTGAAATGGCTTGATGAACAACCAAATGGGTCGGTTCTGTTCGTGTCATTTGGGAGCGGTGGGACTCTGTCGAGTGCTCAAATCAAGGAATTGGCGTTGGGATTGGAAATGAGCGAGCAGAGATTTCTATGGGTGGTAAGAAAGCCAAACAACGAGGCGGCTAATGCAACGTTTTTTAGCGACGAGAACGAGAACGAAGCGTCGAGCTTCTTGCCGGAGGGGTTTATGGAGAGGACGAAAAACAGGGGAATGGTGGTGTCATCGTGGGCGCCACAGGTTGAGGTGCTGAGGCATGAGTCCACCGGGGGGTTCTTGAGCCACTGCGGGTGGAACTCGACGCTGGAAGGCGTGGTGAATGGGGTTCCGCTGATTGCTTGGCCTCTGTACGCAGAACAGAGGATGAACGCCCATATGCTGACAGAGGACATTAAAATAGCTTTGAGGCCGAAGAAGGAGGAGGAAAGTGGGATTGTGGAGAAGGAAGAGATTGCAGAAGTGGTAAAGTCGTTAATGGAAGGCGAAGAGGGGAAAAGAATTCGAGGGAAAATGAAGAATCTGAAAAATGCAGCGGAAAGAGGTGCGGGGGAAGATGGGTATTCATCCAAAGCAGTGTGTGCAATGGGTATGAAGTGGAAGAAGACGATGATGAGCTCCCAAAATGGGTATGAATTGGAAGAACGTGAAGATCTGCAATAATAAAAAGCTTTTGAATCTTGAATTGCCTCTGGGGGGATTGAATTTGTTGTCTTGAATCACAACTCCCTCACTTTGTACAATTTGAATGTGATGATAACAACCGAATTTAGTGTATCTTGTTTGGCTCGATAAAATTGTGCTTTGATTGTTATAAATGGTATTAGAGTCAGACATATAAGGGTGTGGTGTGGCAATGAGATTTTATGGGGCCCTTACAAAGGGGTGAATTGTGGAGATTTTATATCCATCATAGAGGGAACCAAATTTTCTTACCAGAGTGTGTAAATCTCTCCTCAGTAAGCAGTGGATTTTGTCCATTACAAATGGTATAGTATTAGAGCCAAAATTAGAATGGTTCTAATTTAATGCTTTTGAAATCCTTTACCCAATATGAATTCACGTCACAAAAAAGTCCATCGTATCCGCGTATATGAAATATTCTAGAAAGTCTTTAAACAAAATACTTTTGCTCATTTTTCAAAATAATAAAGTTTAAGGCAATATATAGTTTATTTGAATCTCGTTTTTAATGGGTTGAAATATGACTTCTAGACCTATTTATTAGCTAAACTTTGAACCTAACAAGAGACAAATAATTAATAACCGAATATATTCCATATGTTACCTTAATTCATACTCATTTTGTTCTTTTTAATGTGATTTTTTAAAAACTCTTTTAACATGTTTTATTTTCTCCAATTATTTGTGTGTTGCAATGGCTTTATGGTTTTCTTTATATTTATTTATTTTATTGTTATTTTATATTGATAAAAAAAAAATTATTTTTATTTAACAAATATATTTTAGGTTGGAAGGAGTAAATAAATATATTTTATTTTATTTTTAAAATATATCATGTATAATTAAAAAGTGATCAATTTTAAATATTAATTAAAGGTTAATTATTGTTTTAAAACAAGTTTTTGTTGATAATTTGAATTTAATTTATCATAATTAGTTAAATAATAATAATAATAATATATATTTTTTATGTAAGAAAAGACACGACCTTTATAATATGACTACCACTGCATGCATGGATGATATTATGTACGGAAAACTATTTTTTAGATCAAAATAATGAAATTATAACATAAATTAGGCACCGTCATCCATACGTGAGGTGAGGTTCTTGTTAGATATAGGATGGATATTTAAAAATATTTAATAAATGATCTATGATTAGGAATGGCAACTACATGCAATATATTTCATAATTATTGGGATCGAGTGGGACTTTTTTTTTTTTTTTTTTTTTTTTTTTTT